GGGGATAACCAGTAAATTCAAGATAAATCTGAGGGTAGAGTCGTGATCTTAGCGAAGTCACTGCTGCACCTCCGCCTCTACCACTCACAACTTTTGTTTGGCAGTGTGTGTGAATTTACATACACTATGATCAAAGGATGTATAATTCATCTCACTCGCTGTTTTGATGACAAAATCTAGGATGGTTTAAGAATTTTTGTCAATTCTTTCGATTTACGTTTTTCGTGTTTGTCTTTCTGATTGTCTCGCTCTTCCTTCTTATATTCATATACATACCGATTATATGTATAAACACATGCAAACACACACACACACATATATATGTAAATATATATATACATACATACATAAACATACACACATGTATGTATATATATGTGCACACATATGTATTTACACACATTAATGCTTGTATCTATATATGCCTATAATAAAGAATATTCGATTAAAACGAGACAAACTACACTTTCAGCTAACAGACAAAGAAAAAGAATAATGAATAAAAGAATAAGAAAGAGAAGAATCATTTTTAAAAATCAGTCAAGTTCAGCATACGAATTAATGGCCTGATGGCTGGGACCTGAGAAAAGCCTCGTTTTCTCCAGCACTTGAAACGGAGAAACTGACGGCGGCCCCCTGTTGTGTAGCAAAGGAAGCACCAATTGTGTAATTGGCTGACAAAAAAAAAAAAAAAAAAACGCACTATCATTATTATAATTTATACGTAGTGAATCTCCTTAAGCACCATTAAACCTCAGCTCTGCATTCAGACCTCGACTGTTGATGAGATTTTGTTGAAGCCGGACAGAACGAAGGAATCTGTTGTTATTGTCCAAACTATCATTCGGATGAGCGTAATGACCTCATAAGGTCGGCAGTCAGACCTGCGTCGGGGTTGCGGGACTTGGATCATTATGTGTTATTATGTTCCCTCAGTCGCGTTAAGAAACTGTACGAGGCCAACTTTGGGTCTAAACGATTAATCCAAGACAGCATTTACATAAGCAAGGAGTTAATAATGAGGGGGTAAACGTGTTTATCTTCCTGACGAGGAACCTAGTAAGGACGATGGTCTATATTCTCCGAGTTATGGGGTATAAACATCCAGTGGCAGCGTCTTTGTCAAAACGCAGTGTCCATTTACATTTTGTGATCGACGGTCGATTGGCCAAGGAGGTACATTTACCTGCATTTATTAATCTCCCTGGATATTTTTACCAATTAAGATCATATATTAAAGAATTCTTCTAGTGAGGAAATCAGTTTTTTTTCGTTTTATGTGTTAGATTTCAAAACTATAATTCAAAACTATTATCCAAACATCGAATGCAGCACAAAAACGGCGTTTTTTACCCAGTGCAATTAATTTGGGGATTTACTTTAAATATTTCATTACTGTCCTACTCTATAAACTAAATGATAATAATCCGTATATTTTTTTACACATTGTCCCATTCTCCCATTCTTTTTCTTTTTAATACAATCCACTTCTGCAGTGCAGTTAACTCCAATTCATTTATTAAAGCATTCTAGAAAATAAAATTCTTGGACAGAAATCTTGGTGGTTATTTTGACTACATTATTGTTAATAGTAATAGAAATGATAATGGCAAATCATCGTTGTCTTTATTTGCATTTTCGCAGATTATTGCCATCAAAAATGCATTTACTAAATACTATGGTAGTGGTGGTAAATCATAATGGTTTTAACAATACTGCTGGTACTACTACAACAACTGCTACTACTATTACTATTATTACTGCTACTACCAGTATCACTACCGCAACCACTACTGCTACTAATGAAAATTATAATGCTAAAAATAATAATAATAATAATAATAATAATAATAATAACAATAATAATAATGATAATAATAATAGTAATAGTGATAACCGTCACATTACTACTTCTGTTTTTAAAGATGGTAGTGATGACGATGATGATGATGATAATAATGATGATGATGATGATGATGATGATAATGATAATGATAATGATGATGGCAATAAAGAAGGTAGCATTGCCTGTACTGGTAAAAGTACCAAGAACTATAATAGTGATAATAAAACATCTTATAATAATGCTAATAACAACAGTAACCAGAATAAAAACACAGAAATAGTTATACAAGAAGCTCTAAGAATAGTGATGAGGCGTCTGTAAAGATACACAAAATATTTCCAAATAAAAAATAAAGCAGAATGATAATATTCATTGACGGTATATATGTACCTATGATACTATCGGACATCGCTTTATACTATGACCCCTCTCGGCTTCGGACAATCGCTAAGCATTGCTGGCATCTAATCAAAACATCTACAGCGTGCCAATTATATGCCATAAATTTACAATCCACTTAACTTCCTATGACCGTCAAATAGTAAATCAGGCTGATTTCTCCTTCGTAGATCAACACAGAACGGCAAATTTGGTTCATTTCGCCCTCGCAGATCTATATATTAGGGCACCGAAGCCCATGTGATATGTAGCAGT